CTTAAAAAACAATATTTATAATGAATTTTAATAATTTTTTCGAATTTTTTTTAAGCTTTATTCTGACCAATTCACCCGATTCCCGATCCGGATCGTGGATTCGCCCATCCGGATCGGTTTTTTGGAAGCTCGATCGAGGTCACCGATCCGTTTTTTAAACCATTGGTTTAATGTAAATAGTAATACATACGGAAAAAAAAATCCAGGAATGGGCATGGTGGAAAAAAAAAAAACAATACATAAATATATCATTTATTTTTAACATAAGGAAATCACAATCACTCTTGCCCATCCAATTTCAAATTATATAATTGTTAGTATGTCATTGACTAGACTTAAAGTCCCAAATAAAATTTTTGTCCAATTTGACATCTAAACAGTTAGCAATAATTATGACATCTTTGTAACAAAGATAAATAATCTCATAATATATAATCCAAAAAATAAAAACCAACGGAGAGAAAAGTCCCAGAAGAGGCTTCAACTTTGTGCTATAGAAGCAAGGAAACCCACCCACTAAGCCTACTATAGGTAGAGGACCCTTCCTTACTAAATTACCTGTAAAAAAAAAAATACGGAAAAAGTCTACAAGAGGTTACAACTTTGTGCAATAGAAGCAAGGAAACCCACCAAGGTTGTGCTGGTGCAAAATTCTTCCATTGATAACACAGGACATGACAAAGGATCTTTAAGTTTTAAAAGTAGCTTATTTTGTAACACATTATCTAAAATATTTATTTATAAATTTTTTCCCAACTCAATCTATATATATTTTTAAGCTTTAAGCTTCAGAATTAGGTATGAGAATAAATTTTGAGTTATAGTGAAAAATGTTTTCGGAGAAAGGGCAGGCGTTGTGCATCAGATATAGGCATGTTAACATATTACTTGAAAGTAGAGCTTCCGAGGGACTATAGTGTATAGCAGGTCCATTGGGCAAAAGACAGGCGATTTCTATGATTCATTGTCTATTGTCTTGTGATTTGTGTCGAAAGAAAAACCAAAACTAGATTTTGAGTTCTTGAAACCCCATTATCCTAAAACCCCAAATTTGATTATCCACAACCCAAATTCCATGGTCATTATTGGAGCAGCTTTTTAGCTGCAAAGTGGTGTACTTTATTTCTCTATTTTTTTTTTATTTCTTCAGATTTTCCTAGTGATGATCAAATAATACTTGAGAGGTCTAGGTTCTAATAAATTCCTTGCTGTTTTGGTCATGGAACCAATGTACAGTTTAGTCCCATGGGCTAATACTACAGAATATGGGAATTGAGAGACAAAAAATAAAGACATATATATATATATATATAGTAGAGAGAGAGAGAGAGATGATTACCTAAAAAATGTAAAGGGCTCCCACCTTTAGTAGGAATTGAGCCTAGGACGTAGCATTGTAAATCATCAAGCGCTAACCAATTAAAACCAGTCTCTTTTTCTAACATCTTTTTACAGTATAAAAATTATACTTTTAATAATTTAAATTCATATTTGTTATAAGTACCCGGTTTCTATGCGCCCATGCCCTCATATGTAGAAATGTGGACCTATTAATAAATCTATTCTTGAGATGGATTTTTTTACTTAATTTTTACGGACATGTAATCTCTAACATGGAGATCATGAATATGAAAAAATAATTAAATTTTTAAAAATAAAATAATAATTTTAGTTAGAAACCACTTGGACTGTAGGTTTCCATAGTTTTTAGATGGAACACCTACATGCATCCACTCTTGAGATAAATTCTTTACACTTTTTGGACCTCATATGTAGTCATGCGGTCCAGCTCGCATGAAACAAATTTCCTTGTTATAATCACATTATGCAATATAAACCATAAGTTGGTTCACTTAATGCTATCATGGACCGCATATGTAGTCATGCGGTCCAGCCCGCATGAAACAAATTTCCTTATTATAATCACATTATGCAATGTAAACCACAAGTGGGTTCACTTAATGCTATCATGCGTAATCCTTTTCAATAATTTTCATAGTGTTTTGTTATGGTCAACTAGAAAAACAACAAGCATTTGATTATAATTACTAAAAATAAAAAAGGAAAGAAGAAGAAGAAGAAGAAGAAAGCTTTCGGTTTTCAAAACTCAAACGTGTTTTCAAGATGTAGTCTTTCATAAAATTAACATAATTAAATAAAACCAATGAAATTAAACATTAAAGAGTTATGGACGAGGAGCATAGTTGTGAATGCAACGTTTGGACAGGAAAGATAAAAAGGGTTAGGCTCGTTCAAAGGGGGAAAATAAACAAAAGAAGAAAAAAAAAAATGTAAGTAATAGTAGTTTTATAGTTTTGTATTTTTTAAGTGAATATTAACTTCTTTTTTTTTTTTTACCAATGTTCAAAAATTTATTGAAATGCTAAAGGGAAATTACATCAGAATAAACAATAATAGAATCAAGGGCAACACCCCCTTTAGCCAAAGCATCAGCAACATCATTAGCCTCGCGAAATACATGGGAGAAAGAAATAGATAAGGAAGCTGAGACATCCAAAATCTGTAGCCACAGATACCGAAGTTCCTAGGGAACATATTGCTCTTTCCTACACCATTTTATGATGTTCAAATAATCCCCTTCAACAATACAAATGTTTCCCAAGTTGCGGTGTACAAAAATAAGCAATCCCCTGAGTAAAGCGCCCATCTCTACTAGATGTGAAGTTACCACACCAATAGGTTTTGCATAAAAAAGAATAGTATTCCTAAAACAATCTTGAATAATTCCCTCAATACCCATCGGACCTGGATTACCCATTGAACTACCATCAAAATTAATCTTAAGGCATCCAAAGGGAGGACCACACCATAAAGCCGTAGGTCTAACTTTCCTCACTCCAAGTATAGAAAGATTGGAGAGGTTGGACATGACGTCCAGTTTGGTAATTTCCCATGCCTCTCTGGTCACAGAGAGAGAATACCAAATAGACTATTGAATTAATAGAATGACCTTTTGGAAGGGTAAGACTACACCTTCAAAAGTCCTTCTATTCCTTTCTTTCCAGATTTCCCACAATATTATTCCTACTACATTTTTCCATATAAGTCTCCCTGTCTTAAGAAGAAAGTGCATTGATAATTGTGTGAGCCTTTCGGAT